ACTTTCATCATTTTTCTTTAAAAGTATTAAAGAAGAAATTACAATTATTGGAAATTGTTTATTTACGTCTTGTATAGCGTCCGTCTTGAACTCGCATAGAATGCATAGGAAATCGCTCCGAATAACTAAAGCGCTTCATCCGCATTGACTAAACAGAACGATTTCAAAGCGTTACGCACCAGTAATGCAGTATACGCGCTTCATGCGTAACTCGGAACGCACCCTATGTAAGCGTCCGTGATTCTAGTTCTTTTTCTTTAAGTTGGCAAGAGTAGTTATACTATATATGTATTGTATGAACGTTGTACACGACACACACGAATTTTATTCCTTGTATTTTTTACGTTATGATTAGTGCGTGAATAAAGAACGTATCAAGAATATTACAACTAGCATTTTTACGCAAAAAGAGATACAGTCTACTATACCAAACATATTGGTCGAATCGAACCGGATTAGACAAAGACTCGCAAGAATCTGGAAGCAAGCCCTCATAGGTACAAGAAAAAATACGAGCATATTGTAAAGACAGCAAGGCTATCGACGCACCGCTAGCATCAAATACGAAGGCTCTGCGGAGGTAGCGGATTGAAGCAAAATAGCATAGCAGCGCACATACGACAAGACACAAATAAGGTTAAGGTAACCTATAACAATTCATAATAGGCAATATCTAGACAAACATGAACAGCGACAAAAACGAGAGATTAAGAAGTCTTAATCGCCAAAGAGGAGCGATGAAGGCAAAGCTCACATCGTTTCGAATATTCCTAGAGACGCTAGAAAATCGCGATAGCATAGAAGAACATGAAATTATAAATCTTGAGCAGCGAATCGACAGAATCAAGGAATTAATCGTAGATTACGATGCATGTCAAGGCGAAATTGAACAGTTAACAGATGAAAGCACGGTAGAGGAGTGTTTTATGCAAAGAGCCGAATTCGAAGCGAACTTCTATGAATGGACAGCAAAAGCACAAAAACGTTTCAATGATTTAAAACCTGATACAGGAGAAATTATCAAAGCAGAATCAGAACAAGCAGCACGAGGTTTAGCAACAGCTTATCGCAAGATCAAGCTTCCACAACTGAAGCTCCCGCAATTCGATGGATCATATGACAAATGGCTGAAATTCCACGATATGTTCAAGTCGCTCATTCATAGCGACACGCAGATAGATACCATTGCAAAATTTCAGTATTTACAAGGATCTCTTTCAGGTGAAGCACTAACGGTACTTGACGGACTCGATGTGTTGGAAGCCAATTACGAAGCAGCATGGGAGCTATTAGTCAAAAGGTATCAAAACAAGGGATTAATGATACACAAGCACATCGAGGGAATAGTCGAAAACCCGAAAATATTAAAGAAAAATCATGAGTATTTGCGAAAATTAATAGACGCTATGCGTGGTCACATGCGCGCGTTAACGGCGTTAGAACAGCCAGTAGAGTCATGGGATCGCCTATTAATATATCTAATTTCAGGTAAGCTCGCTGCACTTTCCAAGAATGAATGGGAGAAGGAGATAATAGAACAAGACGAGTTGCCAGGCATACAAAGCTTTTTTAATTTTTTGGAAAAACGATGCCAGTTGCTAGAGAAAACGGGCATACATGTTAAAGTCGCAAATGAAACGCAATCGACGAAACCAGCAAGCAAACACAACTCCACGATACTTGCACATGCTAGCACCACAAAGGGAAGTTGCATACTGTGTGGAGAATCCCACGCATTATTCGCATGCAAGTCATTTTTAGAAATGTCGGTTAGAAAAGCGCTCGAATAGAGCAGGTAAAAACAAAGAAAGCATGTCTGAATTGTTTAAGGTTAGGTCATATAGCGATAAATTGCAAGTCGCAAAAATGTCGCAAATGCGGAAAATCGCATAACACCTTATTGCATTTGGGAGAGGTCACTAATGACGAAAAGTCGAACGAGGAAGAAAAACGAACTCTACAAAAGCAAGGATCGGGCAACGAAGTAAAGGAGGTTGTAGCAACGCACGTCGCAATCAAAACACCGATACATTCTACATTACCCACTGCAATGGTGGAAGTCGTTGGCGGAGCAGGACAGACACTCAAATGCAATGTGCTTTTGGATTCGGGATCACAATCCAATTTCATGACTACCAATTTATGCGCCAAGCTAGGACTTCGCACTACAAAGGCAGATATATGCGTATTAGGAATAAATCAAATCGAAAGCAAAGTATTCGAAACGACTAGAACAAAAATCAAATCCATGCATTGCGATTTTGAAGAAGAGCTGTTTTCACGGTTTTCATGGTGGTTCCCAAAATCACCTCACGTCTGCCCAGCGAACCATTAAAATTCCGAATGGAGGATATATCTTCGAACGTCTCACTGGCAGACCCGGACTTCCATAAACCAAAGAAAATCGATCTACTAGTTGGAATCGATTTGTTTTGGGATATATTCGAGGATGACTCGGCAAAATATCCATATCTACGCAAGACGAAACTGGGATACGTGGTCGCAGGGAAGTTATCATCAAGAGACAACGATAGAAAAGAAACGAGATGTCATATAGCTACACACGAGGATAACCTTTCACGTTATTTACAGCAATTCTGGGAAGTGGAGGAGCTTCCATCAAAGCGGCTTTTCTCCTCAGAAGAACAGGCGTGCGAAACACATTTTAGGGAAAACACTAAACGAGACAATGAGGGACGATTCATCGTCAGCATACCCTTCAAGGCGTCTATAAATGAATTGGGAGACTCCCGCGAGCAGAACGGCGTCTAAAATCATTGGAGCGAAGACTGCAGAAGGACGAGAAAATGAGAAGCCAGTACGCAGCCTTTCTGCGCGAATATGAAGAACTTGTTCATATGACCAAGATCGCAGAAGATAACACCGTCAGTATTGCTTGTTACCTACCGCATCATGGAGTTGTAAAGGAAAGCAGTCTTACAACCAAATTGCGGGTCGTTTTTAACGCTTCATCCCCAACATCTACCGGCGTGTCAATTAATGATTTACAAATGGTGGGACCTACTATTCAGCGAGAACTTTTATCTATACTTTTGAGTTTCAGGCAGCATCCATACGTCATAGGTGCCGACATAACTAGGATGTATCACCAAGTTGATTGAGCCGACGCAAAGATCATTTCAGCGCATTCTCTGGAGGGAAAGGCCAGAAGATCCCATCATCGAGTATCAGCTTAATACCATCACGTATGGAATGACTGCTAGTGCATTTCTCGCCATCCGCTGTCTTTTCAGCCTGGCTGAGGAACATCAGAGTATATATCCTGAAGCTGCCAGCATCATAAAGGACCACATGTATGTCGATGATTTATTGTTCGGAGCCCCAACACGAGAGAAGGCAATTCGGCTGGCAACCGACGTATCACATATTCTGGCGGCAGGATGTTTTGAGTTACGGAAATGGATTTCCAATGATCCAGAAACAATCGCAAATATTGATAAATCAAACTGTGTTCATGACATCATCAAAATTGGAGGAAAACGAGTCGACCAAAACGTTGGAATTATCTTGGTCTTCTGCAAAAGATGAATTAGTATATCAGATTGAGGTGGAACCCGAAGTGGAGCCCACAAAGCGATTTGTATCAGCAATGATAGCTCGCATATACGATCCATTAGGCCTGCTTGGTCCTAGTATCATAATCGTAAAGATGATACTGCAACAATTGTGGAGATCGAAACTATCATGGGATGATCCGCTCCCGACAGAAATGCAGTCAGAATGGAGACAATTTCTAAAGGAGCTTGCAGCATTCAAGAACCTACGCATTCCGCGGCAAGTTTGCTGCGCATCACCACTTCGTATTGAGCTTCATGGATTCTCAGACGCTAGCGAAAAGGCTTATATGGAACCTGCGTATATGTTCGATCGACAAACGAAATGGGCATGATGCTTGTTCAGTTGTTGTGTGCCAAGACCAGAGTAGCACCGGTAAAGGCGTTGACTACACCAAAATTAGAGTTGACGGCCGTACATCTCATGGTAAAGTTGATGAATAAGGTGAAGGCATCGCTAAGTTTAAATATTGATAACGTATACTATTGGAGTGATTCATCCATCGTTTTGGGATGGATAAGGATGGAACATATCGGTTGCAGACATTCGTGCGCAATCGCGTGGTAGACATACAGGCATCATCCTCCATTGCAAATTGGAGACACGTTCCATCCGCCGATAATCCAGCAGATCTGGTATCGCGAGGAGTGTCGCCGAAAGCTTTAGCGAACAAAAAACTTTGGTGGAATGGACCAGCTTGGTTAAGAGAACCCAAGAAGCAATGGCCTGAATAATGTGAGGACGAAGACATAACATGGCCGTGACAGAAGAAATAGCATTACATACAGCTGTCGCATCTCAAGATACACATTTTCCTACTATTATCAAGTTCACGAATTATTCCAAGTTGGAGAGATTAATCAGAATAATGGCATATTGTCTGAGATATATCGATATCGCCATACATAAACTATCGCCGAAGGGTCCCTTTACGGCGGAGGAATTACAGCAAGCAACAATGGTATTGGTAAGATTGGCACAACGAGAGTCATTCTCGAACGAAATAAGCATCCTATCCAAAGGTAAAACACTGAGTACAAGAAGCAAAATATACAGCTTGAACGCATTCTTACATAAGGATGGCACGCTGCGCATAGGAGGTCGTCTAGGACATTCAGACTTTCCTTTGAACAAAAGACAGCCGATGATACTCTCTTCAAAACATCACCTGACTAAGCTCTTGTTCGAGAATGAACACAAGCGTTCATTGCACATCGGACCGCAAGCGTTACTGGCGCAAATGAGGGAGCAATACTGGACAATCTCAGGTCGTAATTTAGCCCGACAGGTGGTGCAGCGCTGCACGGTGTTTTCGTAACAAGCCTAGAACGATTACACCTCAGATGGCCGACCTACACCGAGATCGAGTCAATCCGACTCCGGCTTTTTATAACACTGGCGTGGATTATGCCGGACCCATCAGCACGAAAGATCGCAAAGGACGAGGCGATAGGACTTACAAATCATACATCTGCTTATTCGTGTGTTTGACGACCAAAGCCATCCATTTAGAGTTGGTTTCCGATCTCACAACCGAAGGTTTCATACTCGCTCTGCGCAGATTTGTGGCACGGCGAGGGATGCCCAACAAAATATCATCCGACAATGGCACCAACCTTGTTGGAGCACACTCCGAATTGTTACGACTCGGAGAATTTCTCATCAAAAACGAAGGTGAGTTAGCAAATCATTTAGCATCCGAAAGGATCAATTGGAGTTTCATACCTTCCTATTCACCGCATTTCGGAGGTATTTGGGAGGTAGGCATAAAATCAACCAAGTATCACCTGAAACGTGTCATGGGAGACGCATTGCTTACATTCGAAGAGTTATACAGCTTGCTGGTGCAAATAGAGTCTGTTCTTAACTCACGTCCGCTATCTCCTTTATCATCTCATCCCGACGATTTGCTGCCATTAACTCCTGCACATTTCCTCGTGGGGAAATCTTTGACAGCCGTACCATGCCCGAATGTAACTGATATCAAGGAATCCCGTTTGTCGCGATATCAAAGAATACAGCAGATTCAACAGAACTTCTGGAAACGATGGTCGAAAGAATTTATTTCTGAATTGCAATGCCGCACCAAATGGAGAGAAAACCATGGAAAGCTCAAGATCGGAGATTGGGTGCTCATAAAGGACGACAATCTTCCTCCACTTCGTTGGCGTCTCGGTAGAGTCGTCGAACTACATCCCGGAATAGACTTAGTGACTCGAGCAGCTACTGTAAGGACTGCTAAGGGATTGAGTCGACGTGTTACGTTAAAATTGTGTCCATTGCCAATAGAAGCAACGCCACAAGAAGCTGATCCTCAACAGTCTAATATCTAGTCCAAGGATTAACTCGCATTTACCATTCAAATTATCCATTACTAGCAGTTATTGATTAATTTTTTTTTGTTGTTTGTTTCGTTCAATAGCGTCGATGCATCATAACCATTGCCCTAATCGACGCGCGCTACGTTCGTTCATTCGTTTGATATTTGAAAGATCCGTGACCTTTCAAGGCGGGGAGTATGTTTGCGCATTTGAGTTTTCGTGGCTTCGCGCCTCTTTCTATGTAAGCGTCCGTGATTCTAGTTCTTACAGCGTTACCTTGAGAAACTTATTAACTAACTAAAAAATTTTGGTTTTTTGATATCAGATGATCCAGTAACGAGTTATCGTGTGCACCGCAAGACACCTTTTTTTCGAGGCGCCTCCGAAAATTGCGTGCCAATGTGTTGTTTCTCCATATTTTTCGTTCAAATTTTCACAAAATATTCTTCAAACATTGTATTATTAAAATAAAATTACCCAAATACACTGGAACTAACCATAGCTTATAAAAAAATTCATGAATATATGCTTTTTTTTCATCGAATTAACCTTACCCCTCCTCTTAAGTATGTCCTAAGATGATAAAGCGGCCCTCTGATTGGTTCGTAACTCTTCAAGACTGAACTTAAGACGGTCT